CGCAAGGCTACTGATACAGAGATGGAGGCCGTGGTGAGCATCATCTACCATCTACTGAGGAACACTAGGGGCTCGGAAGCTGGTGAGGGCGTGGGAGTTTCGGGCGGTTTGTGATTGCTGTTTTTTTCCACAGCTCGGGTGTTGAACAAGTTCACGGAGGGGTCTTTCAGTAAAGTCGATACTCTGGTGAAATTGCGAGAGGATACTCGAAAGCATCTGGGTAGGTTGGCCCTGTGTTTTTACATTAGTGAGGAGTCGTGATGACAGAGCGAAGACTGAAGGCCTACGATGAGGAGAGCGCTGAGAGGGGCTCGGCGGTGGCGGCAGAGGAGGAGGATGATCTTGGGGAGGACCCTAAGGAGGCGTAAGAAGTTTTACTAGGGACAATCGATAAGTTGTTGGAGTCTGTCAGGCGATATATTTTCGCACTGGGGAGTGGCTTGTCTCAGCTGCAGCTCATTGACCTATGTCTGTTATTACTCTGTCACAATTCGGGCAATAAGGCGCTTACGGAGCACCTCTGTAGGGCGGTCCAAGGGATGACAGGTGAGAAATAACGGTGTTTCTGGTGGGGGTTTTTGTGATGAAAATATAACTATAGTCATCAGAGGAGAAGGAAACACTTGAGGTTTTTCATGGGAATGTTCTGTCAGCCGTTACAGTGGGCTTCCATCCCCAGCCGATCGAAATCAGAGAAATATGAATCATTGGTTTAGTAACTAGATGGGGTCTCTGGCAGGTTCAATACGTGAGGTTATTGCTCAGTATACGGATGAGCTTGAGGACTCGGAGAAAGGCCGGACGAAGGATCTTATGGAGATGGTCACTGGTTTGGAGCATCTCTGTGAGAAGGTTGCTAAGTGAGGAAGGTGTGGTATGAACAATGTGGATATTATGAACGTCAGGAGTGGCAAATCGAGTAGACGCGATGAAGGGGACTTGAGCGGGCCGGAGGCGAAGCGGAGTAAAGCTTGAGGTTTCACGTTGAATGAGCTCGTTGTGTTGAGTGTGGAAGTGACTGATCGGAGCTGTTGGACCAATATATGGGAAGTTTTCTCAGCTCGGGAGTTTCCTCACTAATTCTAGTAGAAGTGTACAAGAACCTATATGAATTCATCGGAATTTTCTAGAAAATTTACTTATTGTTATCAACGCACGTAGTTGATGATGTGCACATTCCCTCCCCCTCCACACTGCAGCTGATAACTGTCGGTTGCCAGGCTTGGTTACATGTCTAGCATCGTCTCTCAATCCCCGTCCCCGTCCCCTTCTCCTCTAGCCTTGGCTTCGGAAACTGCTTCTCTATGTAGGGCTGTGACTAAACTGGAGGGTGGTCTAGTTCCTGGAGGCTTCCAAATTGGTGGAGTTTCATGGAGGGGATTTCATTCATGCTAAGGCCAGAGTGTGCTCCTCGGTGTTCACCTGCTGTGGTGGTAGGTGTGCGACCGTGTGATAGTGTTGAAGTTGAGTTCAGAGGGTACGTATAGATTTAAGCATATCATGGGAGTGTGAGCATACCTTGCGGAGGTCCCGGGTTCGATCCCTGCGGCCGATCTTTTAACATGTCATTAAGCGAATAATATGCACAAGCGTGGATCCTAGAGTAGGGTGCTGCCCTGATTTCTACGATGAGCTCAGTGATTCTGGATCGTACAGTGGTCCCCTGCCTG